GGGACCGTCGGTTACACCCGGTAATCTCGGGACCGACGGTTATACCCGATAATCACGCCACTGACAGTAGCTCACATCGGCCCCCACCAAGCTTCCCGGTAGGTCGGACCTCGGCCAGGTTCACCTCGGCCCTCATACTTAGCATCTGTCAACGCTAGTGGTGGTGATCTCGGCAGTCCGAGCTGAGGCATGACTCATGGTCACCTTGGGACACCAATGGCTGTCCTCCACGTGTCCAGGGTATTCTTTCCCCCAAACAATCACTAATTTTATACCATTCCATTTCCATGTTGTTATAATTCATAAAGGAAGATACAAAATCGTCTAGCCCCATATAAATTTACTACCATTTATAAGCAGTTAAATTTTTTTTTTTTGGGAAGATTTCATCCTCCGATTTTTAGGAAGATAAACAGTATTTTGAAAAGTTAAACTATGCTACCTTTCTAGTCAAGGCACTAAAATGTGGGAGGTTCAAAACTAAAAAAATAAAAATAAAATAAAAAAATCATGTCGGCAAAAATAGTCTACAAATTAACATCTAAAAAAAATGAAGTTAGAAACTTAGAATTACATACGCTAAATAACCACAGTGACAATACTATTAAATTTTGTATTGAAAATTGAAATAATTGTTTGGGAAAATAAAAAAGAGAGTATATATTTTTCAATTATGTATTTTATGTGAGTCTAATCCTCAATTTGTTTCGAGGAATAAAGCATAACATAAGATAAAATCAAAAACCACCCCCACCAATTTTGTATGAAAATATGTTATTCCCCTTGGTTATTGTATTTGACAAAATGCCCTTATGAATTATGTAAATTTGATTAAAATCCAAAGCTTAAAATTTAGGTCAAAATGACATTTGCTTTTGAGATATTTTTCCAATTATTCTCCGCTGAAAAATTTATACTACTATGGTAGTACCTACTAATTTCATTCACATCTCAACACATCATTAAGTAATATATTATATTTTTCCCTGTAAAATAGTATTGTCGGTACTCTGAATAAAAAYATTTGAAATCAATTTTGAAAATATTCCAATCTTGCATTTTTCGGACCAAACTAATATAGTTTTCAAGATTTTTCAAACTGAGAAGGGTGATCCGAGAAAAACCATCTCATATTGAGAAGTATGGAATGAGAAAACTTGTCTAGAATTTAGAAAAAAATATTTTAACATAAACTTAACTCAATAATAATTAATACCTATATAACAAGTTGAATCCCCCGCTTCCCTTTGTTCTATTAGAGAAGAAAAACTCTGGGGAAGAGTAAGCAGACAATAAAGAAGGGGAAGGAAGAGGAACGAAGGGGTAAAATGGTCCAAATAAGGGTATTTTGATATTCCAAAATGGCATCTAGGACAGTTGCGTATTCCAAATCCACTACTAAACATTTTCCTCAATTGTCGTTATAGGTAAAATATGCGTAAATTTCAATTCAAGTTCAAACGACGGCGTTGCGTCATTTTCTCCTCTGCTTATGCTCAAGTTACTCTCACAGACAATTAGCGGACTGGTGCACCTTTACCAAATGATTTATGGCGCGCACGGAGAGGAAGAGAGAATTCGGACTCAATCGCAGGGCCGTCGGAAATGGGAAACCCTTGTTGTTCAGTTTTGTTGTTGGATTCACATTATTGTGCGACAGATTCGTAGAGGTTGGTGCTTCAATCCACGAGTATCGAAACGACGTTTTCATCCCCAAGTCAAATGCTTTCTTCTTCCATGGCGGCAGTGAAGGTCTTTTCGCTTCTAAGCTTCACGATTCTTCTTCTCCAAATACCAGTGACAAATCCCTCAAGGGCAAGTCCTTTATCAGGTAAACCTTCGTCTCTCCACAAATTTAATGACGCTTTTGTTTCTCTTCTGCCTTCACTTAACTGTACATTTGCTTCATTTTGCTAGGTTTTATACTTCCTATTCACTCCTAATTACTGAGTGGCAACCTTTTTCCGTTTCTTTTCATCCTTGCTACCATATTTTGTCTGCCTAGATCAGTCTCATTCTTCTTTTCATTCGTATTCAGAATCATGGAGGGGCACACGCACAATTTTAGTGTGCTATCGATCATCTACCAGCTCGCATGTGCATGTTTATCAAAAAAGGAAAAAGGAAAAATATGCTTATCTACGAGGACTGGATTGACTTGATTATTTACTTCGGCCTTGTAATTTGGGTTCTTTCTTCTTAGTTCGTTTGCTCAAGGTATTACCAGTATGTAATTACACATACAGGATTTAAGCTTCAATTTTGAAATTGTAGGTTTGAAACCGTTACTTTCTTGAGGACGAAAGAATCAGCTAGTCAGACGCATGAAATGCAGCAATTTACTGGATTGGTGGAGGCCATCATTCTCGAGGTTAAAGATAGGGAGCGAATTGGAGGCTCTTCCCTAAAGTCAGATATGATATGCTGCACACGCAGTCTTCACGATGCTGGACATTGCAAGTCAGGTGAGGTTATTATCAATGAAAACCATGACAACCCTGGCTGGCCTAAACGCATCAAGACATTCTTTGTTGGGAAAGATGAAACTGCTGTCATTCCACCTCAGACTATTGAAATTAACAGTACTGGGATGTACTACCTGTATTTTATGTTTTGCGATCCACAACTCAAGGGCACAACAATTGAAGGAAGGACGGTGTGGAGGAATCCAGATGGCTATTTACCAGGGAAGATGGCTCCTCTAATGAAATTTTACGAATTCATGTCTTTAGCATATCTTTTGCTTGGCCTGATCTGGTTTCTATGGTTTGTTAAGTATTGGAAGGATGTTATACAGCTACATTACCACATTACAACGGTTATTGCTCTTGGAATGTGTGAAATGGGTGTATGGTACTTTGAATACTCCAACTTTAATTCAACTGGAAGCAGACCGATGGGAATTACTATATGGGCAGCAACCTTTACATCCGTGAAGAAGACATTGTCTCGTCTCCTTCTTCTAGTTGTCTCAATGGGCTATGGAGTGGTGAGGCCAACCCTAGGTGCCATAACTTTAAAAGTGCTTCTTCTTGGTTTTGTGTATTTTGTTACATCTGAGGCGCTTGAGCTTGTGGAACATCTAAGTAACATCAATGATTTCTATGGAAAAGCAAGGTTGTTTCTGGTTCTACCTGTTGCTTTCTTGGATTCATTCTTTATAATCTGGATCTTCTCGTCTTTGTCACGGACGTTAGAAAAACTTCAGGTATGCAGGCTTGAGTTATATTTATTTTTCACACATCCTTGCTATCACAACTTCATTTATGATTTTTCTGCATCTAGTCCTTTATTTTAACAATTATATAACAAGTGTAAGTTACCATGTATTCCCTGTGTGAGTTGATTGAATCTCTGTGGTGGAATACTGTGTATATAACTTATAAACCTGCCTCCAACAAAATTATGGATTTGATTGCTGGGAATGGATGAAGGTAGTTTGAGACTTGTTATCTGTCAACTGTCAGATCCCAAACTTTCTCGAGTTGACCTATTCTTATTGTTCTTAATGATGCAGATAAGGAGGAATATGGCTAAGCTGGAGTTATATAGAAAATTTACCAATTCCCTTGTTGTATCT